AAGCGCTGTCACAGACCGCTCCTCGGTCCCGCGTTGCTGGAAGCGCAGTCTGGTGTCTGTTGAAGATTGTACCGCGTGTTTGCGTTCGCTGTAGTGCTGTGCCAAAGTCTCGGTGCCGTGTCTCATTTCAGCACAGTAATGAGGGGGAGAAAGAAGCCCTGCGTGTAGTTTAGGGGGTGAAGCGTGGCCGGCTGCCTAACTTGCCACACGAACAGCTGTGGTGTACCAGCGTGCTGTGAAGATCTGCCTTCAGACTGTGAAAATGAACCTACATGAGTCAGTGTTGTGCTAACTTCTTTTGATGCAGAATGACCTTTTGGGCTTTACCCATTTAAACAACAAGTATTCTACTTTATGTGTGTATTTAGTTACTGTTGTAATTTTGGGTAGGGAATCATGTAAATCCTGACTCATGTGCCCCACCCTGGAAAAGAATTATTCAAGTGGAAAAACTACTGTAGAATGCCTGTTCTTTGGTGAGCTTCCCAGTCCTTCTGACAAGGAATACTAAGCAACAGGTACAATCTCGGCTTTGTGTTTTTGTTGTTGTTGCTTGTTTGTTTTGTTTTTCTTCTCCACCTTAGCCTGAAAAAGGATCCACATACCTCTGAACGGAAACTCTCTGGATTACCGCTTGAAGTATTTGTTGAGCAATGCTGAACCCAATCCAATACAGCCACCTTTCCAATAGGATGTGTTGAATTGGACTCAGCTCTGTGTTCTTTAGGAACACAAGCAAGGCGTGCTCTCCTGCCTGTTCAAATGTAGTCCTGTCTGGAAAATGCTGCATAGACCTACCCTAACAAACGAAAACATAAACAAAATTAAACAACTTGATATTTCTAAGTTAAGATACTGCATGTTGCAATATAATTTCTATCTGTTTCCCAAATCTTGATCCATATGAAAAAGGAAAGTATAAGTTGCTTTATTTTCCCATCTTATTTCCATGAGAGGTAGGAGCTGTTTGTGGGAAAGAACATTGGAGAGGTGGTCCCAATTAAGTGGACAGATACGGTATAAAGAACAGACTGTTTGGGTTTGGGTTTTTTTTTACCTCGTACTGCTTTTTCAAACTTGAGAGGAAAGACTGTCTTGAAAGCTAGTTTTCCACAATGCCTGGTTGAAATAAGGCGTGTGAGATACCTCAGTTTTTCTTCTGTGGTGTTCTGCCTGAGACAGTAGCTGTGAAAGCACCCTAACTCTTGCTAGCAGGCATCAGAACCATCAATTCTTGGCAGATCTTCAGCGCTCAGTGGCCTCCTGTTAACCAACCTCATTCAAAGCAGTCTGTAGAAGAGGGGGTGGCAGATTCTTTTTTCCTTGGTTTCTGCAGCTTTATGTCCCACCTGAGATATTCTGCAAAATAGACTTAAGATCGTTAATAGGCTTCATAATTAAAAAATGTGGTTGTAGGCATTCACCAATCATCGACTTCTGAAAGGAGTCTTCATAAGTAAGACTTGTGTACGAGTTTCCCTGCCTCAGGATGGACTGTGTACGAGTTTCCCTGCCTCAGGATGGACTGTCACCTGTTGCTGTGAAAGGAGAAATAAATGGCTGGTTGGACTGTTATATTTGCTTGTTCTGACGGCCACATCTGTGCACAAAGTGTAGCAAGAACCTCTCCTTGCAAAGCAGTGTTACCTGGTAGGATAAACAAATCCTTTTAAATGACAAAAGGGTCACAGTGACAATAGAAGACTTCTGAGGCTTTCTCTACCTTGATGCCCAGGCATTAAGAACACATTTTTCTTTTTTCCTCCCTCTGTAAACAGCAGAAGGTGGCTTTGCTTGTGTCTGGTGAGAACAGTGTATGTGTGCCGATACGTACAGGAGCAAAGAGAAATTCCTTCTTTAAGTTACAGTGATCTTTACAAGGATCCTGTGCAGATGGTGTTCCAAGAATCAAAGCAATGGATCATTAACTCTCATGATTATGAAATGGTTGAAAAGCATTTATGCAGAAGCTTAAATTTAAGCTAGAGTGGCCTAGCAAGCTGCTTCAGGAAGGAGAATTCTGTTAAATTAATTGTGATACTGAGTGGTCAGTGAACACTTCAGACATGCTGGTTGAAGACTGTGTGAGATTCTGTCACTGTACAATTTTTTTTTCTATAAAACTACATTGCATTTTGATAGAAGGTCTCGCAAATGTAATCTACAAATATGGCCTGACTTGCCTCTGTGAGCATGTGTTTCAGAAATACTTGCTATAGCTAGTTTTTTTGGGAAATTTGTGCCTAGGAGCTTTTTTTGTGTGAAGAACACACAACAATGGAAAGGCAAAATAAGATTTTCTTTGGTGAAGCAATAATGTGGTGGATGAGAAGAGGGGTTTTGTCTCTCAATATAAAACAAAGGTTTGTACAAAAAACTTACATGTTTCTGTTTGGATTTTTCCTTTTTAGCAAATAATGGAAATTCATCCTTTACTAAAGGAATAATTGTTCCCCTCTTCTGTAATTTTTTCTTTCTTCAAGTTGCTTTGTATATTTTCAGTTACTATTTTGTATTTTTCATTTGTATATAACTGAATACAATGAGAGAATAAAATTAATATTGGTGACTTTGACATGGCCAGAACGTACATAAATTGCTCTTTGTTTTGTTTAGTATTGTGGCAGAGCAAGGTCATAGTGTATTGAAGAGAACTCCGTGTACCTCTTCTTACTGGCTGGAGCCTAAGGATCTCTGATAGTATTCTTTTTCTAACAGTTTTACCTGTATTAAAGGCAGGCTACAAAAGAAAACATCTACAAGTGTTTTCCTTTCATGAAAAATTGCATATAAAAGCAGATAATGGCTTTGGCTGAAAAAATGCCACCGTGCAGGAACGGGCTCCAAAAGAGGTACAGTATGGTCAGCAAAGAAACAGTAGATAATCCACAACTTAGAGTGTGATGGCACTTTCATTAGTAAACTCCTTTTATACCTTTAAATATTTGATAATAAAGCACAAATTGAAGCCTTTCTGTCATACCCTAACACTGTGTTATCAAAACAAGAGTTCCATCTAGAAGCTAAAAGTTGGTAGTTTGACACATAAACCAACATTGTTACTATTGCACTAAACCAGAAGTACTCTTTCAAATTATGTATCTGTTAAAGTATAATTTTATTCTATAACTTTGAATATTTCACAGCGATGACCAGCACATGTAGCTTTATATATCTGTTGTTTATCTTCCAGTACTTTTGAAATCAGATGGCTTTTGGCAAGACATAAAAAGGTGTGTCTTTCTCTCCCTTTTTCTCTAAGATCTTAGTGGCTCCATAACAACTCCAGATGTTAAGCTAAATCTTGGAGGAGAATTCATCAAAGAATCTACTGCAACTACATTCCTAAGACAGAGAGGGTATGGCTGGGTTCTGGAAGTGGAAGATGATGACCCAGAAGATAACAAGCCACTCCTGTATGTCATAATTATTTTTGTGTATCTATCTTTATTAGCTGTGTAGGAAAAACAAACAACATGTAGCCTCTCAAGTTGTCCCACAGCCTTTTGCTGTGACTAGAATTCTCTTTGACAAATTGCTTGACCAATGGGTGTTTTCTGGAATGAAAACATTATGTTTCTCATTATGGGTTTTATTTTTAGTGTAAAAGAGAGGCTTGTTATTCACTGTGGGGGAGGAAGGAAGGAGAAAGTAAAATCCAATTTTGTTAATCTCTATAAAGTTTTTATGGCTTTTCCACTCTTACCTGTTGATCTCGTAAAGGTTTAAAAAATTAGGTTGTATTCTTTCTGTCTCTTGTGCTGATGTTGCGAGTTTCTTAGTGCTGTCAAAGAATCGGAGGATAAGACAATCCTGTGGAAAGATTCACATTAAGTAAATCTAAGTAAATTCTGTCAGTTACTCTGAAGTAAATGCATTGTGAATCATGCTTATTACAGTAGGGATGCTAGAAGCAAGGTAGCAGAAACTTTATAATCTTTGATGCGATCTTATATTATAAAGCTAGGTTAAAGGGGTGTTAGTGTTGAAAGACGAAAATGTCCTTAAAACTGAAAATCTCTGCATCCCTTGTTCTGTTCACAGAAACGTGGTTGGCTGAAGAAAGTTTGTATCTTAAGGTTACTACACTGTGAGTCAGGCAGCCTGGGTCTTAGTCCTTGTTCTGCACCTAAGCAACTTCATTCTCAGTGTCTCAGTGTTTTCCTGTGTAAATTAAAGATAATGATGCTTTAAAAAAATGGAGTGAGCAGGAGAGTACTCTGGAGAATTCAAATGAGAGTGGTGGGAGAGAACAGATGTCTGGAGAGCTTAATAATGAAACTACTACTTGAAAAGTACTTTAAATTAAAGTGTGCAGAAGTAGCTCCTTGTGTGACTAGGTCTGTTCTGTAAACCTCTAACTTTTAATTAAGAAACAGAGTGGAGTACTGAGGTGACAACATAGGAATTCCCTCTTTTGTGTAACTTTTTACACCACAAAAACCAAGCTTGTGATTCAAATACAGCTAGGTGTTCTAAGCTGCCGATTGCTGGAAGTGAGGAGAACATGCCAAGGAAATGATCAGTTTGTGCCAAAGAGGATGAATATAATCATCCTAACAGAGAAAACCTTAATCTGACTTCCATATAGCAGTTTTTATGCAGTTCTGATTATTCCCAGAACATGTGCTGTAATGAAGCCTTGTATCTTGAATTCTACTAAGGGTTTAAAGAATAGCAGCCAGCTAAGGGAAGTTGACCAATGCGGTACCACTATGCAAGCATTTTCTTCAATAGAATGAGATTTTTTTTTTTGTTTCTTTCTTGTTGGGCAGCCTTACTCCAGACACTTGCTTCCTGTTACAGCTACCATCACTTAGGTGAGATAGCTGTTGGCTTCATGTGAAAGACAGTTTATTCACATGAGAAACTGTCAGAAGCCCTAGGTGATGGCAAACAGGAAATATTTGTGTTACACAATCTTCAGAGTAAAATACAGGAATGCTACATCCTGTTCAGATAAATGGAGGAAAAAGAGATGCTTCTAGTCTACTCCTTAGATTCAGGGATGTGTTAAAGAACAATTTTTGTTATTTATTCACAGGTTAGTAATACCAGTTCTGAAATAGCTTCAGTAATAGCAATCCTGAAATTCCTTGAGAGACTCAATGAGCAGTATTTAATTTTTTTTTTTAAGAGAAATTGTGGTGAAGCATGTCTTTGTGTTTATTTCTTGCTTCAGCTTTTCTGAGGAAAAAGCCATAAATCAAAGCCTTGTACAAAACTTTCATAAACAGACTTAGGATATGATTCTACATTTTTCTCCGCTGTGCTCTTAAATGTAGAGCAGAGGGTTATCTGGTGGGAAGTCTCTTGCAACTCTTCAGAGCTCCTCAGTCATGATCGTGTAAGGAAAACACTAGTGTACAGTTTTGTCTTAAGCTTCCACACATAAACTTAAAAGAAGTAGAATTGCCCATTACTTGGAAAGTCTGCTTCCTTCCCCTTATGCTAGGACAAGCAGGACAACATGTACCAGTTTATTCTTCTGCATAGGAAGCTCTTTTCTGGTCAACTTGTAGCTGCTTACAGACAGTTTGTAGCAGGGAGCAGAAAAGGCAATTAGGGAAGAGCATGATCTGTTGATAGAATTTATTGCTAGTTTAATTGGCTTTTATTTTTACCCATATTGGAAACAAGCCAGTAATTAAACAATTGGCATAAACTGGTCTGCTGAAAACTACTGTTGTTGAAGCAAGTTAAACCCCATTTTATTTAAAAAAAATTCTTTTTACTCGATGTATTTTGAATGGTTTAGGATTAGTGAATGTAAAGGTATTCTTTCTTGTAGAATTTGGGAAAAAAATGTTTCCATAATCAGCATGCTCATGGCAAACTGCTCAGCATAGGAATACACAGACATCCTACTTTTGTGTATGCATGTCTTTAAGTAGTTACAGTGGTATGAATGTTTCATGTGTTCCCGCATGTCAGAAAATAGATCTACTGTCTTAATGTAGACTGTTAGGGTATGTTGTGTATGTTTTCTGTTCTCAGTCATGTAATTGATTTTTGAATAATTAAATATATCTAACTGTGTCACACCGGTTACTGAATGCGGGATGAAGGTATGGTGTTGCTTTGTGGATGAACTGTTCCTTTGTTAGTCATGGCTTCAAGAAAGCCTTATTGGTGACAGGAGGCTTGCTCTATACACCTACTGTTTGCCCCCTAACTCACTTTTTTTTATGCTCCATTTCATTACTGTGGTGTACAGTAATGCTCTCCTGCTTTACAATTTCAGGGAAGAACTCGACATTGATCTGAAAGATATTTACTACAAAATTCGATGTGTGCTGATGCCTATGCCATCTCTTGGGTTTAATAGGCAGGTCGTGAGAGACAATCCAGACTTTTGGGGTCCTCTGGCAGTTGTCCTCTTCTTCTCAATGATTTCCTTATATGGACAATTTAAGGTAGGTATAAGCCTTCTACCTAAAAAGAAATCGTAACTAAATTTGGGGGCATGATTGCTAAGCAATTTGCATTCTTACATAAGTAGAAAGTCTTTTCCTCACACACTAATGCGGAGCATTTCAAATGCTGTTTCTCAAGTTAATATGTAGAAAGACAGCAGTAAGAAATGTGTTAGATAGCCCACGGATAAGTTAATCATGATGAAATGTCAGGTTTGTTTTTATACGGTAAAACAAAGGAAAGATGTGGTTTCTAGAGGAAACAGATTGATACTAATGGGTTTATAGCTGTATTAGTGAATCTTTCCATTTTAATTGTGACCTTTTGTTTATGTTTTTATTAGAAAAAAAAATGTTACCAAAGAACATTTGTTTGGATGCCATGAATTTTAATTTCCTGACAAATAAAGCTCCTTGTTCAATTCATATGGTATCACCACTGTTACCTGGTATATTTAATCTTCATTAGTGCCATTTACTATTTTGTCCTCCCTGCTCAATTACAATCAAATAACTTTCCTCTGGTCAATAGACTTTTTCCATGATTCCTTTTGAATTCTAGGGTGAATAGCTATTCAGAAGCACTGTGCAGATTTAATTGGCCTCCATAAACAGTTAGCTTTTTTTCTTTACATTCAGATTGAAATAGAGAAGTGGTATCATTTATAGTCACAACTTGAATATGAGCCTAGGTGATCGTGCTTCAGAAATCTTTATGACTATATGTGTAGTTACAGTTTTAAATACAACGTGGTATAGCACTAAGCCATATGCAAAATAACAAAATGTGCTTATGCAAGGATTTTTGTGAATGGTGAGATAAAATCATTTCCTTTGCGACTTCTGGCTTCCATATGGTGTACCAAATGCTAAGAACTCACTCTCGGTATCTTGTTTCTATGAGACTTGAAGTGAGTAGTATTATTCAAGTGGACCACTTAGCTGTCTCCTAGACAAAGCAAGGACCATTCCTTGATCCCATGACAGATAAACTACCTTCTGCAGTTTGTGTACCTACTGTACATGAACACTAGGTCTAACATTTCTTAGGAACAGTAGATTTACTCTGTAAGAAGTAAGAGTGTTGTATACGTGTGAGGAGGGAAAGCTAGTAGCTAGCAACAAGATGACTAGACTAGATGAACTGAATGGTGGGCTGTAAGCTGGAGAGAGACGAGCACTCCTGCTCTGAGACTTTAATTGGGCCCTCTTTTAGACAGTGGAAGAAAGGAGGAAGTAAAAGGAGGCCATGCACTATTTTCACAAATAGCATAAAGCCGTTATATTTATCTTAATTTTTTGAAGTGGTGCTGTGATTTTTTTACCTGTTTCTAAATTTAAAGAAAAATCATCCCCTATTTGATGATTCTTCTGTGAATCTGGAACTTTTAATTAAGCAAAAAAATTGAATTGAGTACTAGCTTCTTTTTTAAGTGCAGCTGTTGTACACTTGAATTACAGAGGCTGGACTGATATTGTTGTTTCCCTCTAAAAAAGGTATTTCAAAAGGGAGAGCTTCACTTCTAATCCTCCCAGTGCCTCAATTCCAAGAATAGCTAAGTTACTTTGAAGGTTCTGTTAAGCCGGAGAATGATTCTAAGATTTCCTCTTCAGTTTAAGAGCAGACCAATGAAAGAAGCAAGAAAAAATAATTACAGACTTCGTCCCGGGAGTCTGGGGCTGTTTCTTAAGCGGTAATCATCATCAAGTTCTACTGAGAGTTAAAGTCCTATGTCGTCTTCTGAGCATTCTCAGATTGAGTAAAGAATAAAGTGGTGTCTTTATAGATGAAAGAAGTGGAATTCCAACTCCTTGTATTGGTTGGGCAGACTTTTAAAAACTGAGCCCACCTTCTGTAATAGGCAGGATGTGAAGATGTTTAGCTAGGGTGGTCTTAGCTTCAGTTTTAACTAAACCTTTCCTACTCTGATACAATATTACAGTACTCACAAAACACATTGTATGTGCGTTCCATGTTCACCAAACTTACCATTACTGTGATTCTGTAAATGTAACCTCTGAGTTTTATTCTCAAGTTGCACGGTGATACTAAGTAAAACTATCCTTGCCACAATTCAGAATTCAGTTTTGCATAATAAAGTCCTTGACTGCAGTGAAAGTGATTAATAGAAATGAGTTTTCCTTTCTCACAATGAAAATGATTAATATAAATGAATTGTTCTTTATCTCTTAAGGTTGTTTCTTGGATTATAACTATTTGGATATTTGGATCCTTGACAATTTTTTTACTGGCCAGGGTTCTTGGAGGAGAAGTAAGTACTTGTATGTGAAAAGGATGTAGAGGGAGGTAATATAAAGTCTCTTGACTACATTTTTCAGTAGTAGTTGGGTTTTCTTGGTGCTTGGCTTTGGACCTTGTAGCCAGCTAAGAATGGATGCAGTTGGTAAGTGTAACATCTACATTTCAGGTTCTTGGCCTCCAAAATAAAATCCACAATAGAGGTGGTTAGCTAATCTTTCTGTGTGATGGATGGTGTGCTGGATGTGATAAACAATCTGGAAATTTGTGCTGTGCATCTCGCATTCTAACAGGTGCCTGTGATCCAGAACAAGTCCATTCTTGAGGGACGAGTGCTTTCCATTTTTCGGTCACTGAGCTAAATGGGATCCTTTCTCCTCCTTTGCACTGCTCTTGCACTGTCCTTTATTTAAATTTTTTTTTTCCCTTAAATGGGGCTAACGTCAGTTGTATAATGTCCTTGTGGGTAGAGCACCTACCGGTGTTTGTTTTCATCCTTGGCCTGATGCAATTCAGACCCATTAAAGGATGAAAGTCCGTGCATGTTCAACTGCAAAGGCAGTTGAAATTCTGGCCTACATCCCTCCCTCCAGCTGCGTGCTCCAGCAGGGTTGGAATAGCTATTTGAGCTGTTTACAGATTGAGCCACTAAGCGATTCAGGTGTAAACAACAGAAAGTGACTTACAGCAAGGCTCACAGACAACTACAGCGGAATGTTCAGGAGGGTAGAAACTTCTTAAAATGGCTCTGCAGCATAAAATGCATTGAACTGTGTTGTGAAGAATTACATATTCAGTGATACTTGATTTTTATATTTTTACTATGCATCTTGCATTGATGATGAACTACTGTTACAGACTTCCTACATTATTTACATTTACTTTCATTTTCTTAGATTTTCCTTTTAATCATAATTGCTAGAGTCTTCTTCTGTGAACACTGTTGTGAAAGAAAAAGCTGTTATAAATGTAGTTGCATGGGTTTTCTGCATACCAGCATGATCCAAATGCCCTTAAATCAATCTGTTTTGTGGCTCAAAATGTGAAATTATCAGAATGTATAAACTAGGGAGGAAGTATAGGTCTGCACAGATCACTGTGAAGGATCAACGGCCACAAGAGATTGTTTTCAAGATGGTCAGTCATCTCGCCACTGTTTTTCCTGTTAAATCCAAGAAGCCTAGCTGGGCCCAGCAACGTTTCAAACCATAGCAGGGGCAAATCAGACTTTTTAATACCTATGAAGCTAAAAACAGTTATGGAAATACTTTGCATAAATCTGTTTAAGATAGTCATAATAAATTTAAACTGGAAATCAGAAGATTTCTGTGCCTTACAGGGATCAGGTTCTAGGTCTTCCACTGACGCCAAAAGCATTAATATACTTTATTCATGTATTTGTGTATAATGGATATGAGTATATTAATGCAGAAAATTCTATCTTTGCTGCTTGTGACAGCCAGGGCTACAGCTGGTGACCGAGAGGTCTGTTGCAGTTCTGTGCTCCTGGGTATCATGTGTACACTCCATGGAGAGTGGCAGTTGAGAACCACTTAAGGCAGAACATGAAAATGTGAGGGGTGGCTGGAATTATGTATTTTAACCTGTGTAAATACTTCCCTTGGAAGTGATAAAATTGTCACTTACAGTGTTTAAAAAAAAAAAAAGACAAGACAACATATTTCTAAGACAACTGAATGATTAATTCCAAAATTCTAGTGGGTAGCGTACAAGAACAATTTTCATACTAGCAAGCTTCCTTTAGCTGAAATTTCATGAATACCTAACACATTATTATCGCTATTCATACTGATATAACAAGATCGAATTGTGTTTGGTGACAAAGATTGAGTAATAAAAAGCTTGGTTTTATGTGCTTGAAAATTTCAGGTTGCTTATGGCCAAGTTCTTGGTGTGATAGGATATTCCCTACTTCCCCTCATTGTCATAGCACCTGTACTTTTGGTGGTCGGATCATTTGAAGTTGTTTCTACCCTAATAAAAGTAAGTTCAGTATCATCTGTTGAGAATTGTTTACGGTTATTTTTAAGTTGCTTTCCTAAGGCTTCAAGTATTAGTCTGTTCAGGACAACATACTCGGAACTACAATGTGAGCTCTGTCATCCTTTTGTTTAGCATGGTGGACGTGACTGCTAAGCGGATTCTGTTCTAAATGTTTCTTTTGAGCACGTGGGGATATACAGTACGGTTGCTATAACACCACCTGTTGTTACCAGGTTAGCTTCTGTTTAAGTATTTTGCTGTGCTACAACAGTTGCGTTAAAATAAATAGGATTATCATTTTGAGAAGAGGATGCATAATTAAACCTCAAAATGAAGAATGTGAGAATAAGCTGTTCTGTCCCTTCCCCCATCATCCAGTTTATTTTTAGTTACTGCAGCACGAATATGACGTTAGTCATTGTTCTGAGACCTTCCCATAGTGGTTGCAGTACAAAGCTCTCAATACCCTTTGCAGAGAAGGTGAGTATTGTTCGGATTTTACAGATGTGGAATATAAGGCACAAAGCAAGAATAACTTGCCTGATACCACCTGCTGTTGGACACCTTTTATGAAACTAGCAACGGTCCCCGATAGATCCCAGAACTACGTAACGTTCTTGAACACTTCCAGTACTTCCTAAAACCCTTTTAGGTAGCCTTTGAAGTTATTGCTGAACTTTTGGAAAGGCTGACTGAGAAAATTCTGTTACTAGCTGAGCTGTATGCTTTTTGAGTTCTTGTTCTGTTGATTTGATTGATTTCTGCCCTTTTAGCTTGCTGGTAAACAGTATAATTGAAGTACAACAAAAGTGTATGAGAAATAACGAAATTGCTGTGTTTGTGACTTGATAACTTGCAATTACTATTAAGTGATACAATCAGAAAGCAAATCATTAACTTGCCAGTTAACTAATATATAACTTGAAAATAAATATATGTTAATGAAACCTCTGTTACTTGATTACTACTAACAGTCTTACGTTAACTTCAGGGCGAATCTGTGCAAGGTTCTTACCTTTGCATCATTGATGTGAAAATGCAGGACAAGCCCCATATGGCCAAAACTATTTATGCTGTGACAAGTACTGCTTCTTGTGGCTTGAGAGCTCTGTGCTTGGGGAAGTCCTAAAGCTGGGGAACTTATAGTGAAATTCCAGTCACTTCTTTTCCAGTTGCAACTGGCAAAGTAAACTACTCGAGTAATGCACCTCAATTATTTTAATTGCTGCAATTATCCTAATGTAGCTTAGGGAATTGAGTCATGATCTTGATTGTCCTTCTTGTCCATCTCTGCAGTCCCAGGTTAGGCAGCAAAAACATAAGTGTGCAATTATGTGCAATTTTGGGGTGTTTTTTTGTTGTTTTTTGTGGTTTTTTCCAATGGCAGTTGAATAGCCCTCAAGGGGCTTCAGCTCCTCTGACAGAACTGTGGAAGAAGGTCTTTGCCGGGGTCCTATTTTGTCTGCCCTCTTTGGTCTTGTGTTTTGCAGAAGATTACAGTGTTTTTGCATGCCACTTGGTTTTAAGTATTTTTCCTTTTTTATTAATATTTAAGGTGCTGCTAGAGGATAATGTCTGATTCTTTTTGCTATAACCTTGTTTAGTTTGAGGTTTGAGTCAAGTTTGCTGACCTCAAGACTTTTTTTTTTTTTTAAGAAGTATGCATGCTAACTTCATATAACATAGTGGATATTCATAGGTAGTGTTACTTTCTACCAGTCTTTTAAACTGGAAGCAATATAGTTTTTGATAATGGATTGTATTTTGCCAGGCTTCTCACTGCACCTGAAAGGAATAGGAATATGAGGTTCAGTTACCTTGAGGTGGGGGCGTCATAATTAATTAAAGAAAAGCTTGTGAGCCAGATGAATCCTGAAATAAAAAATGGTAATTTAACCCTCTGGTCTATATTGTAGGAGGAAGAGTCAAGTATAGGAAAGGGAGGGGTTAATAGTTGGGGACAGTCAAGGTAGAAAGAAAAGTTATTAATCCAGTGACATTTCAGATTATCAGCGTATGCAAGCTTACAGCTTGCTCTATGGTATCTATGTGTCTTACATTAGAGAGAACATACTGTATGTAGATCCTTAGCTGCTCACTTCAATAAAAATGTCTCAAACAAAAATAACATGCCTATTTGCTAAATATTTCTCTAAACTTACATGAAAATGCATAGTATATTCTTTTTGTGTGTGTGCTTCTGTATATGTGGAATTCTTTCCCCCAAAATTTTTTTGGGGGGGATTTCTTTTTAATTATATTGAGAGAAGAACTGATTTTTATCTTGGTGTTTGGAGAGATTTTCTTGTGGGGTCAGCTAAGACTGTTCATCTTCTTTTTCAGTTGTTTGGAGTCTTTTGGGCTGCATACAGTGCTGCATCATTACTAGTTGGAGAAGAATTCAAGACCAAGAAACCCCTTCTAATTTATCCAATCTTTTTATTATACATTTATTTTCTGTCCTTGTACACTGGGGTGTGATCTAGCGGAAGATGTGGCCAGAAACCATATTTTATTCACTTGCAGACTGATAATGCTTAAGATTAAGGAGGCTGGAGATAATGCAAGTGACTGTTTTGTATCCAGTTGTCAAGATGTTTTAAGATCGAAGAGCATATTTGTGTATATTATTTAATGAAGCAATTGTAGCTATATAGATTTGTATCAAAGTTCCAGGTTTGTTTAAGACTCTCCAGATTTTAATGAACAAAATAAAAGAACCTTGCGTTTTTTAAGAAAGCATAGCAAAACCACAACTTGATACCTGTGCCAAAAGCACGAGGACCAGATTACTATATTCGAGGAGAAAAAAAAATGAGAAGTCAACTGTAACACTCTCAAAGTGCAATTTTTCTTTTGAGCTTAAACACAGCTGGCTTTTTTGGCACAGCAAATTCTGTAGATAATATATATTTATGAACCAGTCCTGATTGTTCACAGAATAGTCTGTATAATAAAGACATGAAGATACTACTTTTAATTTAGTGCCTCAATTACTTTGATTCGGCTATTGAGTTTTTATAAATTCCAGTTTGTTTTCAAAACATGTACATACTGTGTATTTTGTATCTATGGCTTGTGTGTAGCGCAAATATTCCTTGGTTAAGGATGTATATTGGGTTTTTAAAAAGTGAAGATACAAGTATTTGAAGTCTTCATTTACTACTCTGACCAAAGGAGCAAGATATTTACTGCGTGACATAATTAAAGTGCATATTTAGAGAATCAAATTATTTTACTTAAAAAGTATAAATTTACAGAGAAACAGGTGAACACCTTTCTCAACTGTAGTGCTGGCTTAATGTTGGAGAAAAAGATGAGCTATCAAATTTGTGTGGTCTTTAAACAATGTTATTTTATGATGACAAAATAAAAATAATGCTTCCCTAACTATGTTTTACAACATCTTGCTCTGTCTTGCTTTTAATAGCATGGTATTTAACATGCATCCATCTTTTTTTGTCCCTGGTACTATCAATCCCTTGTAAAGAGAAATAAAAAAAGATTTCTAAGGCCAGATTCTCCCTTCCCTAAATAAGGCAGAATTACAGCCTTAGTAACATTACAGTCTTGCTAATTTTGACTATCCAAGGATTATGTAATAATGTGATGACATGTTAAATATTTCCTGTGTGCTGTGTTGATTGCTTATGTAATGGTCCTTATGGTAATGTTTCTTCGCAAGGGAAGTCCGCTGAAGTTCACTTTGCATGGTACTAACTTAGGCATTTGCAATCTTCAGTATTTAGTATTGCCAAATGGATCTTAAATTTCTTAGTAGGTTTTTTTTTTTTGGTAACAAAGCATTCCTGGTGTCTTTTATGTTTTAATGCTGCAAATAAAACTCACCCATGATAAGGTAATAGTAAGGGCTGTCTTTGATCCCTGAAGGACATACTACTTTATCAGAACTGTAGTTTTTCAGCTTTTTAGACTCTGTAACTTGCCATTTTAGTAACTTATTTTTACCACTCATTAGTGATGCAAAATATATAAATTCCAACTCTACCACAAACCTTTAGCTTATTCAGTCTGCTTTTCTGGTGATGCTTGTGTTAGTTTTAAACAGAACTACTTCAAGTTGATGCTGGACATAAATAGTAATACTCTAGCTTGTAACACATTAAAGGAGGAATAACTGGTAGAGTGATCGACTTTTCACCTAGTTTGAGTTCTGTAGAAATTCTGGTGGAATTACTGCAAGAGTCGTACTATATTGCACCAGCAGCTTAGTACTTATTTGCAAGTGTTTTGTGAGCATTCATACCACATTAAAAAAAAAAAAAGCAATTACAGTGTATTAAAAAAAAAAGCATGTTAGCTTTGGAATCTTGCATGATGATCTGGTCTTCTCTCTTTTTCATGACGTTTCTTTTTTAACAGGGATATCCAAGTAGTATTAGAAGACTCAATCCAGACCCTGTGCATACACGTTTAACTAACATCACCATAAACATTTAGGTTACTAGGCTGTCAGAGAGCTTTAAGCTTAGCTCCTCGTTGCATAGCTGCTCATTAGATGTCCATAATGGATACTGTGCATCTGAAATGACTACGAATATTCAAAGGATGCAAGAATGTTCTATTTAATCTCCAAATATCTTAATTTTCTCTATACTAATGTTCTGTGAAATTTATAGTTGCAATTTTAACTGTTCCTTTCCACAGACTTGGCACGTGTAATATGCAATGTAGATATGCACTTAACATAGTACATATTTTGTACACAATTGCAGATTTGCACCTTGTAATCTTAGTATCTCTAGGGTCACCTTTTGCATATGCTGTGCAAGAAATATGTACAAACAGCTCTCAAATGGTTCTGATAGTTTGTAATAACTTTGCATTCAACAAACTCATATTTTTAGATGAGGTATGTGTGTAAATACAAGATGTATTTTATAAAAATTTTGAATTAAACTTGTTTACAGAATGTATGAAGCTCATTTATATTTACTGAATTAAGACACATCTACATTCCTATGCATGCCATCAATTGCAAGCTTTGAGGCTATAAGTTTTTGTGATTGTATATACTACTTCTGTCTGTCAAAATTGGAAACTTGGAGCACATCCATCTAGCAAAAAGTTCCCTTTCCAAGATGCAACACCCATTTCAAGGTGAAGACATGGGTACCATACTTTCATAATGAGATGTGCTCTTTGGATGATCTTCTGTATAGAGCAACTAGACACGTACATGCATACACATCTTTCTTCCCCCTTCACATCAGACGTATTCTATTGTTTATCAGAAGAATGACACCTATTTGAAAAGTATGTGAAATCAATTGCTTGGATGAGGAGACAACAGCTTTAGATCTGCTTTAAGTTTTGTCACTACCATTACTGGTCTTTAATGTTTCACTTGAAGTAGTGAAGCATGCTTAGAAGCTGCTTATTTTGCTCTCAGGACAATTCTGATTAGCCTATGTGACATTATACCCACATGGGTTTGGGTTGGTTTTTTTCTTTACACAGACACAGTATTTCTTAAATTATTTTCCTGCTACAGCAGCCTGTGTTAATTCGGGTCCTTCTAACAAAAACTCTCTTCTGTAGGAAACCACATTATATTTGAAAGTTCATTATATTTAAGACCATCAGTAGTCTAAAAGCTTTCTCAAATATTTTAGCAGAACATGCTACTTAAATAAAAGAATACCTACAGGTAGTCTTAGCTATACAAGCTGTTATTCCAGTGGGTGAAAAGGGAAAACCTCAACAATAAGAGGTTTTCTCATAATTAGGTCATTTTTGAAGCATGGTGAATACTGCTTCAGAACAAAATGCTTTCATGGATAGAATGATTCCAACCCTACTTTTTGGGGTAAACCCCCCCACCCCCAAATTTGGGCTGGAACTGCTGTGCGTATTCACACATGGACAGACACCCCCCCACCCTGAAGAGGCAGGAGTCACCTCCCCACACTGGGGTCCCTTCTCAAGGACTGAGATTACTCTGAAACGAAGCTGTAGCAGGCTAGCACTTTGGCTTTTTCACCAAAGCTGGAGGCAAGTTACTTAGGGGCTCTCTCATATCACTCGTCAGGTACAAAAAGAAAACCAGTCTCAGAGCCAGGGGGTGAAAAGCAAATCCCGTCTCTGGTCTCCCCGAGGCAGAGGGCGGCAACCATGCTCGCCCGCTTATGACCCAGTTTTTGTCCGGAGCAGTAACGACTCTGCAGACATGAGGGCCAGGGAAAGCCAATAGCCAGCTGACCGTGCTCGGGCCCTGGAGGAAACGGAGCCAGAACGGAGAATCATAGAATTGTTTAGTTTGGAAAAGACCTTTAAGATCATCCAGTCCAGCCATTCACCTAACACTACCAAGTCCACCACTAAACCAATTCAGGGTAGAGTAGTAATTTCATGTTTCCTGGCTTGGTGGCTGGATTATTTTTTAATGAAAGTAAAAACTAGGAATCATTAAGGTTGGAAAGGACCTCTAAGATCATCAGTCCAACCATCAACCCAACACCACCATGCCCACTAAACCATGTCCCAAAGTGCCATGTCTACCTGTTTTTTGAACACTTCCAGGGATGGTGACTCCACCACCTCTCTGGGCAGCCTGTTCCAATGCTTGACTACCCTTTCTGTGAAGAAATTTTTCCTAATGTCCAATCCAAACCTCCCCTGACGCAGCTTGAGCCCGTTTCCTCTCATCCTATTGCTAACTATGTGGGAGAAGAGACC